TCTCCTGAAAGATCTTCACATTACATATGACCAGGGCATGAGTGACTGAGAGAAGGGCTTCTTGATATAGGAAAAATCACTATTGATACATGAAATATAATTGCAAAATTCCTGTCCCAAGCCACAGATGTCACCTGTTTTTCAAGTAGGAGCTCTTGAGTCTAAGAGAACTCCCAAATTCTAGACCACTTCTGAGCAAGGAAGTACAGGTAGTCCTTGCTGAGCAACTACAATTGGGACCAGCAACTCGAAAGATGAATGTTCTCAAAATGAATATTATTCCCAAATGAATTTATATTCTGAGAGGAATTTTGTTCAAATTCCTCAAAAATATTTTCAGAAAATAAACACTTCAAAAATTTTGTATGTGGTTCTTCAATTCCAACAATACCTTCACAGAAAATGCAATTATCTATTAATAAGGGAGAATTTGGTTTTCAGACCCTGTAGTTATACACTGATAAATTGTAAGGTGCAAGGCCATTTGAATAGTCTTGGACAACTTGGAGGAACACAAAATGGAAGGAATGCAGTTAGCAATGACTTTTTAGGAAACTGAGTTCTTAATCCTAAAACAGTTATTTTGTTCAGTTGAATTGATACTATTAAAAGGTTAAAACTTTTAATTTGCTTAAAAGTGGTATTTACTTCTAATAATGAATCTTTTGTTCATTTAGTTATATATTATGTTAACTTTCCCTCAAAATGTCCAAAAGACTATTTTGAAATTATAATAGTAATGAATTTTGATAATTATTTCAGTTATCAGCATTTTGCAGATTAAATAAAGTTACCTATATTTATTGATTCATAAAATTTAATTCGCTAATCAAATACAAGGGTATAACAACCTTTTTTTGCCTGTTCTTTTGTTTGTGATATTTTATGTCAAGATTTACTATTGTAGCCTTAAGAGCTAGAAAAAAGAACATTAAGTATTTATATGTGATCCTTTGTATGTTTAAGAGAGGTTTATTTCCATGAAAATTATATAAAATTTCATTCCAAGTTTTGTACAATATTCATGTGGAACTAATAAGCAAGATATTAAAGTACCCAATATCATCATGATCCAGTCCTTTTAAATATCAAGAAAAAACACCTCACTACTTCCTGTATTAGTATCATTTATGTCTTTGGAAAAAGGCTTAGATTTACATTTATCTTTTTAAGAAAACAATAGCATATAGCAATATTACATAAAGTATATATGGATTACATAATGCTGCCATTTGGAGGGCAAATACAATCAAATCTGTCCTCTCAAATCAACACAGCTCAAAGTTGACTCTAGTTACAAGTCTCCATCAGTAACACTCAATTTTATCTTTCATTCCCAGGCTGACCGAATAAGGCTTTTGACGCTATGTTGCAAAGCTATGTAGGCCTAGATGGGGAAAAACTGCCTCCAGTTGAATTCTGCCAAAATTGTTGGAACCTTTCAGACCCAGGGATTTTCTGACATTACTTCTGGATAGAGTTGCACTTCCCCAATTAGGAGTGATGTGCAATTTGTGCATTCACTAGCGATCTAGACTCACACCCTTGTCACCTCATGGTTCAATCCACTCTGCACATTGCTGTCTCTGAAGACCACTTGGAAGATTTAACTAGTCCAGAATGTGGCAGAATGTGGAGTTATGGACTTGCTAGAGTACACCTATGGTTGCCACTGTGCATTTGGATAAGATTTAAGATTTATTCTTGTCTTCTGTGGTTTATGACTATTTGGTATGATCTGGTAGACTAAGTCTCCTTGATTAAACAGTGCCATCTTTTAAATCCCAGGAAGTGCACCTTCTCTATAGCACTCTCTTTTTTCTGGAATGAATCCCCCTCTGAAATGGGCAAGATGTTTTCTTACTATAACTGGAAACATATAATAAGAGTTAGTGGAAATATATTCCACTATTCTAAGAAATGGGTGAAAAGAGCACGAAAACCTATATTTACATTTATTTAAAAGTTATCCCCAAAAGCTCCCATTAAGAGATACCACTACTGAAATGTAAACATCTTAAGTCAGCATTTTTGCAATGGGCACTTCACCAATCTTACCACAACAGAACTTGAGTTAATCAATAACAGACCATGGGGTCAGTGACTGTTTTTGGAATTTAAAATATGCTGTTTTTTAGTATTGGGAAAGATCTACAATGATGGATGCAGATATAATGATGGAACTCAGATATAGGAAAGAATCACAAAATCTGATCCAATGCCTGTTTACTGGCTAAAAAAACCACCTAGGATGTCATGAGACTGTAATTTTAATTTTATATTCAAATTACTGCTGACATCTTTGAAGAGTTTGTTTATTTACATCATGCCAAAATCATAAGCAGATCCTTGGCAGCTCATGCCTTATAATACATAATGATAAAATTAAAAAATACAGAGTTTACTAGCTTCTGGTAAGCAGCCTCCAAGTATTTTCTGGAAAAGCTGTTTTTAGCTGCTTCTGAAAGGTAAGTACATATGAGACTAATTGGACTGTCTTATTCCAGAAGACCAGCCTGATTTTAGGGGGTTGGGAAGATTATGTATCTGGGCTTCATCTCCTCCATTAGCCAGGCTGCTGAAGATTCAATTTTTCTCCTTAAATCTTCCCAAACTGCAAAAGGCAGCCACACAATTTGCATCCCTGTTCTGTGTAAAACTACCTTGAAGAAAATATTGTATAAATATCTTAGAACATACATTTAAAATACACCACAAAAAACCATGAATATCTATTATTGCCACCTCAACGCTATTGATGCTAAGTAATTTTAAGTCTGATGACCATCAATGGGAGAGAGTTAGTGGTTTATTCTCCAAAAGTCATAAGTAGGAAATAAAGTGCTGAATAATGTATTTTGCCTAGACAGTGTTTTTACTCACTATTATTATGCTCAATGATGATCAATTCCTTTTTCTGAATACTGCTAGGCATTTTCTTATTGAAATATTTCTTATTGATTTATTAATACCTATCATGGTTGCAATATACTGTATTGTTGGACTTCTGTGGTATGTGAACTTAGTCAATAGAATTGATTTCTGAAGTTATATGTAAGGCCACACTACAATAACACAATAGTCATTTTGTGAACAGGAAAGGAAAACAGAATGGAACACTTTTGTCACTATTTCTATTTCTATCTATTTGGCCAAATAGATTGCTTGGCTTTGGTGTACTGATTAGACTGCTGGATCAGAAACTAGAAAACCATAAATTCTCATTTTCCCTTAGGGATAAAACCTGGCCCAGTGACTTAGACCAATTATATGCTTGAGTTATGACAGCAATTGGAACCAGAATTTCTGTCACCAAGTGATGCAGTTATAAAGTACAATGTCAATCCCTGAGTCTGAGTTGCCATTATAACTCCCAGGTCCATGCAGGAAGATGCAGGAGTCCCAGGCAAGCAGGTTGATAGGTGAGAACTGCAGGTGAGCACTATGACTGGGTGGGTGATGTGGACAGGTGCTATGGAGTACAGCTGCAGGTGTGTGGGTACTGCAGGAGTGTACCATAGGCAGTCACTAGAAGCATAGATGGGTGCATGGATGCTGATGGCCAGTGGAGGTGCAGTGGGTAGGAGCTATAGAAAGATGCAAAAAAACCCAAAAAAACCAGGAGCAACTTACGTCCTCACTGACCTACCTTTTGGGAAGTCAGCAGGGAACACTGGAAATTGTGATGATGTGATATGACTTCCTTCAACATCATAATTGTGAAAAAGCACCTGAGGTGCTGGGAACCTGGATCACAATTGTGCAACCATGGGGTGTCGCAATGGGATCTAAACTCATCTTTCAGCATTATTGTAACTTTGAACAGTCACTGAACTTTGAGTAGTCACAACCAGAGGACCACCTGTAGTTTCTCTCATCCCAATCTCCATCACAAGGATGCTAATGTGGGAAAAATATAAGGATGGAACATTGGGTGTTTTCTAATTACAAAAAGATTCTGAGTCAGCACAGAATCAAGCAAGGAGGAATATCTAAAGACTATAGGATTTTCAATCTTACTTTAGTAAATGTCTATAAAATCAATTCAGTATCAATTCCCATGTAACTTTTGAGATAGGAGAAAGTTATAGTTCATCTGTGAAACAAATAATACACTATAATTAATCAGAAGAGAAGACTCTTACAAATAAAATTTCAATTTTAATTAATGAAACATATTTATTTGCTTCTCTTATTCATAAGGCAATCATCAGTGCTAATCAGGTTCTTTTTGCTGAGCAGCATTTATTGAAGTCTGGCTTGATTCCCCCCCCCACCCCCTAACAAGTACTCAATTATCCATTCTAATTTCACTAACATTTCTAAACCTAATGACATGTGCCAAGAATATACTGAAGAATATATTGTTTCAAGACTACATAATATTGTAAACATGCCCTTTATTCATCAATTTCCAATAAAATAAGTATCCAACCTGTGACAAATAGTTTATTCGGGGAGATTTTGCTTTTCGGTTGTTAAAAGTTGTATCAAACATAATTAAGAAAGTTAGGTGTAAAAGAAGACTGGGTTCCCCTACTGTGAACTGCTGTATTGAAAGCCTAATTTCAACAACTTTAGCTCGCATAAGAATCCTGTCCCCAAAAGTTAATACTGAAATGTTAAACTTGCAAATGGAGGAAGAGGCAGACCTCAGTTTCCTAAAACAGGCTTTGTACAGTACACGTCTTAATAAAACAACGCTAATATTTGTACGCCTGGTATGTATTTCCACCGAACTGGTCTTACTTCAGGCGGAAGAAATTATGCTATCCTAGAAGAACGCAGGTATTAGCTGCCTGTCACCTGGGCGGTCATGGGAGGCATCCCGGGCGTCGTACGAACAAACAGGCGCCGCTGCGCTCAATTTACAACCGGCTCGGAGGGAGTTACTTCTCCAGGCATTCAGGGTTAGGGAAGCTTCTCCACGCCCCTTTACCCATTGTCAGGGCCACCTCGGCAGTTTCCGCTCTCGCTTCGGCTCCTTTCGCCTGGTTACCCTCCGCCCTATGGGAGAAAGTCGGAAAGTTTCGGGAGCGCTGCTGAGTTTTCCGGGACCCGCTTCGGGAGTTCTGCGCCGCAACCAGGCAACTCACCTGGGGAAGTCGCAGCCTCCGCAGCCTCCTTACTAGGCAGCATCAGAAGGTAAGCTGGAGCCTGCGCCGGCGCTTAACGGCGCTGGTTAGGGCGCTCTGAACGCAAAACTTCGTCGACGCCGGGAGTTGGAGAAAGGAAACTGCTCGGTGGGGGAGCTATGTACCCCGTGGGAAGGCGAGAAACGCGCGTGTTCCGTAAAGTTAGGTTAAGACGGGGGTATCTGCCTGTCTTCGAGGCTTCCCATCGTCCGTTCACATTGGTTTGGGAGGAAAGTTCCGAGAAGAGCAGCTTTTATAGGCGCTTCTCGCGCGTGAGAAAGAAAAGAGTTCGCAAGATCTGCGCGTAGAGAGAGTGTGAGAACTACAGCCATTCCAGTAAAGTTGGCTGGGGTTTGAGTAGCCGAGAAAAGTCCAGATTTGCTGGTAAACGGAGCTGGGGGGCGGGCCAAAAGAGAAGGGGAGCGGAGCTCGAGGGGCTGCGGGAGACCCAATCGGGGGGCTGCCCTGGGGATCTGGAGGAGCACCTCCCTAGAGACAGCGCGCCCGCCTCACTCGCTCCCTTTTGTTTCCTGCAGAGGGTTGCGTGGAGTCCTCTTCCCCACCCCGCTCGGTGACTCTCCTTTGGTCGGCCAGCAACTTTTGCCAGTCCGCTCGGTTAGTAAACCTCGGAAGGTCAGCAGCCACGTCGGGGCTCGTTGGGAAGGCGCTAAGGAATCGGCAGCTTCCCTGAAACATGGCCACCGGGGGCTATCGGGGCAGCGGCGCCGCTACGACCGATTTCTTGGAAGAGTGGAAAGCTAAGCGGGAGAAGATGCGGGCCAAACAAACACCGGCGGCCGGGGTGAGTGATGGCAAAGCTGCCACCAACACTGCCACCAGCGGCGTTGGCGGCAGCGCCACCGCCGCCGAACTTAATAACAACAATGGCAGCGGCGGCATGAATTGTATCCCTCTGGCCAGAAACACCCCGAAGGAGCCCCAGCCGACAGCCGGAACCAGAGCAGGAGGCGCGGAGCCCCCAGGGAGCAGAACCAGCGCGACGCCAACTTCTCCCGAGGAGGAGAAAGTGGCTCCCAAGGGCAAAGGTTCCTCCGGCCCCAGCGCCCGGAAAGGAAAAGGGCAGATCGAGAAAAGGAAGCTGAGGGAGAAAAGACGCTCGACAGGTGTCGTGAACATCCCGGCCACCGAGGTGAGTCGGCGCTGGGTCAGGAGGGCCGGCGCTGGGGAGGAAGGGGCGGCCCAGCCCGTGGGGGGGGGGCAGCCACGCCTCTCCCTTCGGCTGCACCTGAGGAGCCTGGCGGCTTGCGAGACGGCGGCCCCTCCCCGTCTCTCTCGGGCCTGCCTGGGCTGCCTCGGTGGTGCGTGAGGCTGGATGCCTACAAATTGCTTCGCGGGCAGTGGGAGGCCGCTGGAATGAAACTGCTCGAGGCGCTAAAACCACAGAGTGCTTCGTTCATTTCTGCGGTTGTGTCCTTGTGGCTTGAGAAGTGCAGTCGAATCCAACTAAATGGATCGAACTGGACTTAGCGCGCCTGTAAAGTTGGGGCTGTTGTTTTCCATTAAAGAAGGTAGCCTTGGTTTTTAGTCTGTGTATATGAAATTACTTAAACCGCTTGGATCCGGAACAGCCTTACTTGGTCCGCTTGCAGGTTTCACAGGTTTGTCACCGTAGATCTGTGGAGTTTGGGTTAATTTAAAAAAAAAAAATCACGGTAGTCTATAGGAGTTTTTTTTAAAAGTGAAAATAACTTCTAATGAAATTAAAACAATTCACTATGGATTAGTATAGTTAACTGTTGAATAACACATGACCTTAGTTTTGTATATGATGTGTCTGAAGATAATGTGTTAAGAAAGGCCTAAAAGAAAATTGTTGTAAAATATGATTGAAATAAATCCGTATAGTGTGTTCTGAATTAATAGGTTCCAGGAAAAAAAACCTACTCTGAATTTTTTAATTGTTTCAAAAATGTTGACCTGTTTTTAAATTGTCTTAAAGATGTCGGTGTCTGTTAAATGCAACAGGATAATAGAGATGTTATAACCAATATTGTTACTGTCGGATACTGAACTTTTTTTCCCCTTCACAGTATTGGTTATAACATCTCTATTATCTTGTTTTTAACAGAGACCGACATCTTTTAAGACAATTTAAAAACAGATGGTATAGAGTTCAATATAGTTTTTGTCCTCTACAATACCAACGTATGCAGTGGCTTAAAAGGGAGAAAATAACATTTTGGTTAACTAATACGGCTGTCTTTTTAAAAAACTTACATGTATTCTGGCATTAATTTAAAATGCTGCCAAAAGTTATAAACATGTGACAATAACTCTTTAAATGGAAAAGCAGAAAACTTAGAAAAAACGATATTAACAATCCACTTTAGTATTCAATAATATAAAACAATATTGCTGTCCTTTTTTTCTGGAATGTAACATCTGAAATCACCTAATACTTCATTTCACAACTGCCTAATTATTTCACAGCTACTTAATGAGACTCTTAGAAGATGCTGTTGATGAAAACAGTCTTGACTTTTTTTATGAGATTCATGCTAGCATCTGCTAAGAGCAGCTGTTTAGGAACTTGCAACAATCTTGGGCAAAATATCTATATGAATCTTTAGTTTAAGAAAATCTATTGGGAAAATAGGCATAGTCAAAGTTCATCTTATTTCTGCAGTTCTTTCAAAGGAAAACCAGTTCGTTTTTTGCCATTGAATAACCCATACTGTTCAGTACCTTCTGCCCATCCTCCAAAAGACATTTTTGTCTAGTTATTTATTCTAGCATGTGATTTGACTTGAGTTTGAAAGATAGAAGGCATGGCTTCTTTGAATATATGACTTCACAATCCTTCCTTTGTATATTTTTCAGCATGTCTGATATATCAGAGTTTTGTTTCCTCATTATTATGAAAATACTGATACGGCAATTAGAAGATAGCTACATTATGTCTTTTATTATCTACAAATCGTGAATAATTTGAACACATAGACTAAGATATAACTTTCTCTTGCCTACCGCTAACTGGTTTTTCCAGTCTTGAATTAGGTAAAACAATTTTTGTTGTCATTGTCGTGTTTATTAGTTCTCTTCTGCTTTCCATTAGTTTAAATTGGTATTTGGAATGCCATATTATGCCTACTTTAATAGATCTTACCAGCATTGTAAAGTTTTGAAGCAGTTCTAAAATTAATTGTCCAAATCTTCAAAATTGGAGAAAGGTTTATGTAAAAGGAGTGTTAAGTGCACCCCTGCCCCCAAAAGGGCCAGTTTCACATTCAGTAGCAATTTATTCCAAAAATGAGTTCCATAATACACCAAAATGATCCCTTTGAATTGGGCTTGGAAAGGAAGTGATGGAGGAATAGGTGGTTAATCAGTCAAAGCTAGAGGCAGTAAGGGGAACTTTTATTCAGTATCAGCTCTGGAAGGAGGAGGACCCCCAGACTACGAACCTGTTCCTTAAAGAAGAGTATATATAGAGATAGTAATAACTTAAGAAACAGGACAGAACTTTGCAAAATGCAGCTCAAAATTCTGGAGGCCAGGCAGATGTTAGGCATTACCTCTTGTTAGCACCCAAATACAGGTAGTCCTTGACTTACAACTTTCACTTAGTGACCATTCAAAGTTATAATGGCATTTTGACCATTTTTCAGACTTATGACCATTGCAACATCCCCATGGTCGCGTGATTTCCATTCAGAAGTTTGACAACTGAATCACACTTCTGACGGTTGCAGTGTCCCGGGGTCATATGACCATCTTTTACCACTTTCTGACAAGCAAAGTCAATGGGGAAGCCAGATTCACTTAACAACCAGGTTACTATTTTAACAACTGCAGTAATTCACTTAACATATGTGGCAAGAAACATCGTAAAATAGGACAAAAATTCCCTTAACGAATTTCTCACTTAACACAAATTTTGGGCTCAGTTGTGGTTGTAAGTTGAGGACTACCTGTAAATAAGGGTAGAAACAAAAATACTACTCCCAGCTTACTCAGGTGCTCCAAAAAGATACCACTGTCAATGTCAAAAAAGGCCACTGATATACCTAGTGGTATCAATAGAGTCATAGTTTGCTCTAGGTAATTTATCTGACAGGTAACCTTAGCTTTTCTGTAGCAAATACAGACCTAATCTCTCACTAAAAAGGGTTTGATATTCTATTTCCTACTAATGTTTTTGGAGCCACAACACCACTGCATTGTTTATGGTTTGACTAAACATGGAATATTGGACACTGGGCTCCACTTGTTCAGATTACCAAACTAGTTGTTTAGTGGGTTGTTCTAATCTAGAGCATTATTTCATTGTTAAAATTGTAACAGATTTAGAACAAAATCTCTGAATGAAGAAGGTTATGTGTGCATGCACAGATATATGCCTGCTCCCTGATGCAGTCCGAGATGTGGCCTTTGAGATCAGAAATACTGGAGTTATTATGGGCTTCAAATAGGTTTGCAGGACAATTTGAAACAAAACAGGTGAAATATGGAATATTTCCATATTTAGTATAAGATATATATAATCTTATAAGACTAAGATATCCTTCTGAATATAGCCTCTAATGGGGAGAAGTAGCCTTTTTTATATAATGAGATCAGAAGCTTTAATATAATTGAGGGAGGTAGAATTGGTGAACTGAATGCCATGAATGGGAATGTATACAATAGAAAGTAAAGGTTAGAAAAGGAAAACATAGGTGCATTGATGAAGTAAAATGGGGACTTTGATCTTGAACAAAAAGGTGTATAGAAAACCAGAGAAAGGATTCTGATTTCAGATAATTTTTAGGTTACAATGGATGGTAATGAGTGAAAAGGTGCCACGAGGGAAGCCAGGAAGGATTTGGAAGACCCAGTGCAAACCGTACACAAGTAGAGGGTTAGGGAGGACCTGCAGAGGCTATGCATGGCCGGGTGTGTGCATGCTATGGGTGGGGACAAATTGCTGTAATGATTACTTTGTTTGTGGAAAGCTGGCAGGGAAGGTTACAAATGACGATCATAGCTCCTTGCTATGTCATAATCATGAGCTGAGTGCCCAGATTGTGATCATATGATTGTGTGGGTGCTGTGATTGCCAGAACTTCAAGGATCAGTTTGTATGTTCATCTTTTCAGCAGCACTGTATGTTTGAATAGTTGCTGAATGAATGGATGAAAGCTGAAGACTGCTTATAGAGCATCTTGTAGTATGAATAATGGATGTGTTAGATGAGTTGAGTCTGTAAATTCTGGATATATAAAGGATGATGAACTTGCTTGGCAGCTATACATATTAAGCATATTTGTTTATATGTACTTTTTCACTATATAATTTATATTTGAAGTATTAATATACTTCAAAATATTGATTGAAATATTTACAAGCTAATTTATTCTGTGTAGAACTTTAATTATCACTTCTTGGAAGCAATTCATGTTGTGCAATATGTTTTAACAAGTAAATTATAAACACTTTATCTGCATACATCTTAATTTACATGTAAGAACTATGGATTTAACCAGATAGTCTAGAAGCTTCAGTATATCCTTCTAGATATTGTTCTGTATACAGACAACATGGAATTTTAAAGTACACTATATTGTATATTTTGTGTACAGTTTTCCCTGTATTAATTTATTACATGAGAAGCAGGATCACAGTTCATAGATTAAAGTATGTTTTAAAAAAACCCCATTCCTTCATAGCCACTTTGGGAAATTCCACCTTGTGAATTAAAATAACCTGATATTGATTATTTTTGATAACATAATTAATTCTATAAAAAACAACCTGTTTTCTATGTGAAAATCCAATGGTGTGGTATAAGGACATATGAATCAACTTTTTTTGCTAAAGCTAAGCAGAGACTAGGTGGTATATTCCTTAACGTTTAGGTGACTGGGAAAATACAAGCATCTTGGGGAGCTTCATTAATACATTCTTGCTATGTATACAACTAATAGCTACTGACATATTGTTATTTTTTTCAATGTTTTAAAAAGGATTTTAATAAGATCCTATTCAGTTGTCTATCTCTTTATCATGCATATTTGTTTCAAATTAGTCACCTAGAGTTGTTTGTTAGAAAGCTGGATGGCATACAAATTTAATAAATAAAATAAATAATTCAGTCTTCAGATATTTAACAGTTATAATTAGCGGTATATTGGCATGAGCTGCTACATG